ACTATCTATAATGTTAGATGATTTCATGGCTCTGAAGCTCCCTGGGGAATAATAAATGCCACTTATGAACCGGAAATTTTAAAAAAAACTTTGATTCAAATAAGTAAAGAAAATGAATCATGGGACCCATGTATTTATTTTTGTTAATTTTGTTTTGTTTTGGTAGATACAAGTGAAAAATGAGTTTTTGCTACATGCGTTGGATACTTAAGCTTATGTTCAAAGCCTGGGTAAATATAATAATACTGAAAGAAATAAACTGAAAACCACAAAGCAAATATTTATAACCAAATACTCCACCACAGGGCTGCCAGTGAAATTCCTCTCTAATAAGCCCGGCTTAGAAGTTGTAAACTCAAGTTGAAAAGTGTGAATCACTCCCTAGTAAGTCACCTTTCAGGTGACATTTCTCAGGAAGATTTGTATATGCTACTCATATGTATAATTAACTGCTACTCACACATTTCAATCAATCGTAACTGACCATTTCAAAAGCCACTGAAAAGGCTGTCAGTTAACCGGCTCCAGATAGCTCTAAACATAATTTTCTCCACTCCTTACACTGATACCAAAAACGCAACTTCAGTTTTGGAGGAGGAACCAAGGAGACGATGGAGCATCTGCATACCTGAAGAAAACTAGGCACTGTCTCTTTTAACCTCCAACCTAAGGCCCTCTACTTCCCCTCCACTTACACTTTCCATCTGTCAACAAGTGCTTGTAATTTTATTACACTGTCCTGTAGTTTATGCAGAGTTGGTATTATTTTACAGAGTTCTGTTAATGGACTGGATAAATGGTAATGCTATTTAAACTAGTCTCTTGCTCCAACAAACACAGCTGCAACTGTACTACTATTTCTGAGCAAACATCTTGACCTGAACATGTAGTGCTCTCTCAACCCGTCCAAAGAGAAATTGGAGCAGACAGCAAAGGAAAAGCATATTTGGCCGCTAGCAGCAACCAACCGTGTCGAATCATAATTCATATACAGTGCGCCCTCTCTTCCCTTCAGACTGCACTGAGAGTCCAAAGGGTAGTCTGTGTGCTCTTCACCTGGCATCTCATGTTCAGCCAAGAGTCAAATGGTGATTAGTCATTACACAAGTGCAACAAATATGTACACACTCAGGGGTGGGAAGAAGTAGGCTTGCAGTTGTGAGTATGAGAAACAGAGTTTATCCTTGCATTATTATTTATTAATTAAGTATTGCATTATTTATTATTATTTACCTATTTTTGCCCACCTTTGTCATTTCCAGTACATCAGACTAGCTTTAATCTAAGCAAACAATGATAAAAGTCAAACATCAGTGTATGAACAATATATTAAACTTGTAAACGTTTTCATTGCTTATATATCCTGTAAAATTGTACTAAGTAAAGATTAGAGATACAGTAGGTTTGGAAAAAGAGAGATGTTAATTAGCATTATGCAACCATTTATAACGAGAAATTAAATTCTAAGTGTGTTTCTTTCATGAATTCTAGATGTGTATGCCTTTATTACATCATATAATAGGGAAACTATGGATCGATTAATATGCACATGTAATAACCAGTCAAATACTTTCCCTGTCCCCAAATATTTTCCCTGTTATTTGTCAAAAATCCTACATCCTTCATTCTCTGGCTGTGAAGGGAAGCTTCATTTTTATTTATTTTTTCCCCTTTATTGATTAAGATATTACAAATGTGTCCTTATCCCCCCAATGTCCCCTCATTCCCCCAATCCTGCCCTCACCCTCACTCCTGTTGTCCTAATCCATTGCTTATGTGTATATGCATGCATACAAGTCCTTTGGTTGATCTCTCCCCCTCACCCCCACAATCCCCTATCTTCCCTCTGAGTTTTGAGCATCTGATCGATGCTTCTCTGTCTCTACATCTGTTTTTGTTCATCGGTTTATGTTGTTCATTATAATCCACAAATGAGTGAGAGCATGTGATATTTATCTTTCTCTGACTGACTTATTTCACTTAGCATGATGCTCTCCAGCTCACACATCTACATACAAAACTGTCCTTTAAAATGCTCATTTAAAAATGAAGCTTCCCGAAGCCCATTTTCCCACGTGTTAGAATATTTGCTTAGGGTGAGCTAGTAGGCACCTGTATCATCTAAAGAAAATGTGAACTTACGCCCTTCCTCTTGGAAATTACACTAACCAGGCAGTTGGCTTCCCAAGCTTTTGTTCCTTTATTTATTAACAATTCTTAATGGTGGCTGTTTAATTTAACTAGTGGTCCCCATCATAAACAACTGGCCTCATGTAGCTTGTGAGTAATCCTCTCAAGAGAAAGATCACTGGCTGCTAACAAGCCACTAAATGGAATCCAACCGAGACAACAGCACCTCAACTCAAAAGAAGATTCCTGATGTGAAGATGCTGAAAAACATGACACCTCCAAGTTTCTAAGTGTATGCAGTGTCTGTGTCAGGTGTCAACCCACCCCCCCCCCCCCAGGGATTGTAAACATTGAGCCATCAAGGGCTAACTTCAGGAATATCAAAGCAGTCAAGTCCCACTTGTCCCATCTAACAAACAAAACTTTACTTTCCCTCACTCCCCAGGGGAGAACTTGGAGCTATACAGGAAATCGGAGCCCTGACCCATTGCCTAGCTAACCATTTCCCATTTTTAAAACACTTTTAAATAACTGAAAATCCTTGCCTTACAGTTTCATGGGTTCTCTTTCTTTAATTCACTTCTTTAAGGTTTTGAAGTCTCCGTCATTCATAGAGCAGCTTAAGTTACAAAATTATAACAAACCATTAAAGAAAATCCCCTCTGATATTGTGCTATGTGATATTGTAAATAAATAAAAAAAAGAAAAGGAAAAAAATGATAACTGAATATGGTTGGCTGGTAGAGGACTCTGAACTGGATTATACCACCTGAAATGAAGACTCTTAAAAAAATTAACCCAAGTACTTCTAAAAAATCAAACTTCCTGTTTCTCAGAGATAGTGTTAAGTTTCTTCACCTCTTTGGCTTCATAATTTAAACGCTAAATGACAGTCATTCTGTTTAAATTCTATTTTCACAGCTTCTTAGGAAATGGACACTTTCCTAAACAATGTGAATTGTTTCTAGAAGCACACAATTAGCAAAGTGGTAGTTTAACAGTGCTCACTGTATACTAGCCTTGAACCCAAAGCTTCCAAGTTCCATCAATCACCCAAAATTAAAGCAGAAAGAATACTCTTAACCCTGTTTCTATGATCCTTCTTAGAAACTAAGAACAAGCATTTAAAGACTAAAGGCTCGGTGCATGAAATTTGTGCACAGGTGCGGTTCCCTAGGCCTGGCCGGTGATCAAAGCATGACACATTTGGTCTCCAGAGGGCAGTTAGTGACTCATATTGGTCTGGCAAGAAAGGGCAGGTCCCAGCTGACCTCTGGGCCCTGGGCAGCACCTAGGCCCTGGGGCCCCCATGTGCCCCCCTCTGCCTGAGTCACAGCGCTTGAGTCCCCCTGCAGAGATGCGGTGAGAACGGCTGGACACTGCAGGCCGGGGCACAGTGTGGGACTCTGGGCTGCACAGCGGCGCCACACAGAAGCCAGGCGGGCAGCACGCTCTCTCCTGGCCAACGCCTGCCATGTTCCGCACCACCCCCTGATGGTTAGCACACGTCATAGCAAGTAGTCGAACTCACTGTCTCCCGGTTGAACTCCCGGTCGAACGACTGCCCAAGGGGACAATTTGTATATTAGGCTTTTATTATTTAGGATAAGGATCAATTTATATACATACATATAATCTTTATAACAGCTTACATCCTATTTCCTGGGTAAAACTAGTGCAGAGAGAATTATTGTTTAAAAAGGCAGTCCCTGGGCTTCTTTCTTTGATTTTTTTTTTAATTTACTTAACGGAGTCAATTAACCAGCAGGGAACACAAAGCCGAGAAATACTGCTAGGTGATGGGCTCTCCTTGCAGGTACAGTATCAAGAAAGTCAGACTCTAGAGGAAGATCAGGTGTGTTGTTAGCGGGCCACCCATTCCTGCTGGGGAGATTCTCTCTATAGTGAGCTGAGGTACCAGGAGGTCCCACAGAGATCCTGGCTCCCCTGGGGGCAGGGCTGTGGAAGGATGGTCTTAACTCTTCTGGAATTGACCACAATACTGAATTTGTAGGCTGTGGAGCCTTGGCCACAGAATCAAGTTCAGAAAAGAGCAATCCCTACACACACGACCATATGGGACATCCCACCATCCAGGCGGGGGCCATCCTGAGCAGATACAGCCCAACAGTTTTTCCACAACATCCGTGAACATCAGTAACTGCTGCGATGTATTTTCCCAACACTGTGGCTTATCGCCCATCTGCACGAAATCACTCCCATGGCTGAAAATCTAATTGTAAAAGCTTTCAAAAGTGTGTTTTCACTATTATATATTAGGTCAGCGAACAAGCATGTCAGGGAGGAAAAACTGATCCTGCCTAAAACTCATATTACACCCCTTCCCAAGTACTTCAATGACGTACTTGATACGAAACCCTTAGTCATTCAGATTGCGAAGTTTGGAATTCTGGCCTTAAAAGGAACATATAAGAAGAAATGTTCAGTCCTTTTTAAATATCTTACAATACAGAAACAATGTTTAAAAAGCTAACATTCAGAACCCCAACTTGATAAGGAAACGAGGCCAACTTCCCCCGAAAAAGAAGTGTGGTGGCATTTTTCCCATCAGAACTGAATCAAGTGTTCGAAGAGAAGTTAGATAAATCTCCTCCCCAGCATCATATGAGCAAACCAGAATGATACAGTCACAATAACACATTCATAAACAAGTCAATGCTAAGCAAACAAAACCACTGCAATCACTGGGAAACCAACCTGAAATTTCCATTGAAAACAAAGGCAAACTCTTAATCCATGAACCTAGTGATGAATACATTCCAAGAACGCACACAGAAACAAATCCGAAATACATTTCATAAAACACAAGGTACTACCCAAAGCAACAGTAACCGCTTCCGTCTACTTACAGCCTGTAGAGCTTCGAAGTCCCAAGAAACAGCAACTCAGGAAACAGCTGAAGGTGATTTCTGTTTAAACGCCTTTTGGGGAAGAAAAAGAAAAAAAAGCGTATGTTACACAGAAAATACCCAACAATGAAACTTTGATTTGGTAGTGTCATGCCTCATCTTGTTTTGCAGGAGAGAAAGAAATGACATTCAAGAGAATCCAAGCATTGCAAATCAAAAGTTGGTTACACCTTTTGTTATATGAGTCTTTAAGGCAATTTTCCATTATGCTTACTCAGATCATGATTACTGGGGCTACACTCACATCCCGTGCAATATCAGTCAACCAGAATATACACAATGGAAAAGGATTTGACTCAGACTCTGATGGCTAGGTAAGGAGAGAGTTCAACCTTCAGCAGAAATATCACAGTAAGTGGCGCCCTAACATAATTCATACCCTGTCCCAAAAGGGCTATGTTATCAGCCAAGACACTGTGGAGAGATGAAACTCTCAGTTTCGTTAGCTTTTCATTTAGTTGAGGGGTGGGAAACCTTTTTTCTGCCAAGGGCCATTTGTATATTTATAACACCATTCGCAGGCCATACAAAATTATCAGCTTAAAAATTAGCCTGCTGTATTTTGTCAAACATTTAATTAATTCACCCCTAATGCCTTGCCAGGGCCAGACCAAATGACTTTGCAGGTCCCTATATGGCCGGTGGGCCAGATGTTCCTCACCTCTGATTTAGTTGCAGAAAGAAATGTGTGTGAAAGTGTCAGTGTGATAGGAAAAATCAGAGGAAAACCAAAAGTTCAAACCTGAACCCATAGTTCTTGACCCTTGACTGAATTTGATACTGACTTATTACTAATTGGTGTCCCAGATGCTTAAATTATGTTTTTAAAATGTTTAGCTAATATTATAATGATTTAAATGTTTTAGAAAAGAATTTGATTCCAACTCTAACTAATTTAAGTCTCAATGCTATGTAACTGAGTTCTTTTAAATCATGCACTCTCGCTAAGAGTGGGCCAATTCCGGCCTAGATGTATGAATACTCCAACCTCATTCATTTCAGGTGTACAATTTAACATTTCAATGAAAACGAATTTGTATCACTCTGCTTTTCCCAAACTTGAATAAAATGATGAAAAGCCGATGCAAAATTCACACTTAAATGACATACAAGCTGCTATAAAGCACTAGAAAAGGGTAAGAAGTCCCCAAAACTAATGTCACACTGAAGAAACTGGAGGTATTTCGTAAGTCTTAAAGATAAATGTTCAGGGGACAGTAAAGGAAAGCATATCAATCGATGGTGATATATTTAAATGGTCACCGTGGTGTAAGCAGAATTACACATTTGGTCTCCAGAGGGCAGACATGGCCAAAGGATTATAACTCTTAAGAAAGTAGATCATGGGAAAGACCATTCTAGGAATCACAGATATTAAGAAATGGAATGATCTGCCTTTAAGACTCCCAACTTCGTGTCCCATATTCATTCAGAGGCTTCCCAATTTCTTTTTTTCCCCTGCGAAGGGTGTAGTGACAAGAAATCCTGCACGAGGTGAGTTGGGCCAGGTGGAGTTCAGAACCTCCTCCAGCTCTAAAATGCCATGAGGCTACGACGGCAACCACAACTTTCGTTAGTGACTCATATTGTGGAGAAGTTGGTCATCTCCGGAAACATTCTCCGCACTTAATAAAATACATATGCATAAAAAACATGCCAAGATAAATAGGGGGAAATAGTAAAATTAGTGCTGAAAGGGTACACTTATTCCCCACTTACACTGATTGTTACGAATAAAGCACATAACAAGGTTAATGCTAAAGTGCAACAGAAGCTTCTATTTATTTATTTTTATTTGCTGAGCCTGACTCTGAGGAAGGAATGCTCTCAGAGTCTACTACTACATGATTGTCATAAAATACTATTTACTTATAACTTGTTATTTTTTTTTAAAGTGAATTACAAAGATTCACAAGAGTAGGAATGAGAATTTTTCTAGGGAAGCAACCAGTCTTGGAAAGACGCCCATTGTTCAAGAGCCAGCCCGGATTTCTGAATGACAGAGATGGGCTCTCGTCATCTGAACCAAACCATCGGACTAACGAAAATCATCAATGATTCTCCAGCCGCTCTAGCACACTCCTTCCAGCCCTGTCCCTGCAGAGGCTGCTCTCTGTATGGACTGCTTTCCCTGTTCTCCAAATGGCACTTTCTTACATCCTCTGTGAAACTCCCCCGATTCCTCCAGTAGTTAGTTCCTTCCTTTGCTGCAATCTCACATCCCCACACCATTTGACAAGTAAGAGTCAGTCATGCTGCATTATAGGTACTCACTCCCACTGGTCTGTGTCTCTTCCAGTATAAAGATGACATCTTTGTATTCTCTCCCTTCTTCCCTGACACTCAGTAGGTTCTAGGAATGAGAATAGACTGATCCTTTTGCATTGTGATAGAATCCAGCAAAGCCCTGGCATATGTATTTTAAATTCGGTCACCTTTCCTCTGGCCTGCTCCCTGAGCTATATGCCCTGGGTGTTACATGCTCTCCCATGAACCTACCTACTGCCACACCTGCTCTCATGTGCCCTATAGAGCAATTACCTCCTTTCCCTTCCATCCACCTCCCTCCCCTCTGCCATTCGTAATACCATCTACAAACTGGAAGGAATTCAATGTTTTAATATATATAGTATTGATTTCAGAGGGGAAGGGAGAGGGAGAGAGATAGGAACATCAATTATGAGAGAGAATCATTGATCAACTGTCTCCTGCACGCCCCCTACTGGGGATCGAGCCTGCAACCCGGGCATGTTCCCTGACCAGGAATAAAACCCTGACCTCCTAGTTCATAGGTCCATGCTCAACCACTGAGCTACACTGGCCAGGCAGGAATTCAATGTTTTTAAAAATTCAGATATATAATGCAGTGACAACTGCTATTAGATTTTTTGTTGATGGGCCTATATCAGTACAATTTCAGATATTGTGAGAAAGTAGATATTTCAGATGGGGTGCAGTGTCTTCTTCTTAATTTTTATTTTCACATTTCCAGTGGTTCTCAATAGCTAACACATCACATGAGCTTACTATGCGATGGTCACAGTTCTGAGAGGTTTACATGAATGATCTCACTCCTTCTCCAGGACAGCCCCATGAGTAGGTGCTCTTATTGTTGCTGTCCTGAGAGAGGCACACAGCGCACAGATAGCAGACTTGGAACTTGAATTCAGGTGAGGCAAGTCCAGAACCTATCACTCCTCTCAAAGGGACACAGTCTAAGCATTCCTAAATAACGATTCAAAATAATAGGATGCTGAAAATTTCCTTCTCACCAATCTTTCTTTGGGAAAAACATAGCTTATATAGCCCACTTCTTAAATAACAATGAATGAACCTCCTGAAAATAAACCACCAAGTTTTATTTTAAAAACAAACTGGCTCTATGTTCAGCTTACTCTCTTAAATATCTGTTTAAAATAGCTACAGTTGAGACAAAATGAAAAATACATTTATTTTCTCTGAATTCAAGTCCTTTATCATCATTCCATAAAATTTATTATGAATGATCTTAATATGTCTAAACCAGCCATGCTTACAAGACAAGGTAGTATCATACAAAATAGAACAGATAAGTGAAATTGTAACAGGAACAGAAAAGCAATATGACCATGCTTTCTCCTTTAAAAGAGTATTAATATACTTCTGGTTCCTGTTCTTCTATTCTTTCTTCCATCAATACTAAGAATAAGTGGAAACAGAAACATTAAAATAAAAAGTGACACTCTTCCATAATCATCAATCAAGAAAAAAAATTATAACCAGAACTTCTTGTGCCGTGACCAGAAATTAAATCCTTAAATGAAGAGGATACTTAAAAAATCCAAAATTACTTTAAAGACTATTAAGGTGCATAGCAATTTCTAAATAGAGCTGGAGTAAAAGTAACCTCTCTTCTTTTAATGCCACAGAATACTTCCTAGCAGCTTGAAGATGCAAGTGTCATAATAATAACTGTAATGCAAATGAGTTAAAGAAGTTAAAACCCGATAGTCCCCGAACGAACAGGAAAACAGCACGCAGCGAATTAAGGGTATCTCAGAGGAGGATTTCTAGGAGCCAGCATACATTAGCTCCATGAGCAGACCAGGTGGGTCAGTTACCTATTGTTCCGAGCAAGGATACTCAATTGTATCCAAGGAGAGGTGACACAGATTTAGTGACATCCAGCTCTTGTGTCAGCACCAGCCGGATGGAATCTGCCCACAAGATCTCAGGGCTGACTGAGAATCCTCTGGATGGGAATTCATGGCTTCAGAAAGGTGGACAATGAGTCTCAGAGACACTTTTTCGTAAGACAAAAATGGGAGGGGTCCCAATAACTGTTTTCTCTGTGCTGTGGGCTGTTTCTGACTGTGCCCTTCAGTGGGGTGAATGATCTGTCTGTATCGCCCAAAACAGCTGTCCTCTGAAATGCTGATTCTTCACAACCTCAATTTGAAGGGCAGCCTGAGCATTATTGACAAGCATTGTTTCACATTGTCTGTCTGCTGCTCCTGCGATTTGCCCGCTGATAGAGGTTACAGTCTCTTATTGTTTCAACGTGCACCTCGATTCAATCAGGATTCGCCACCTTCACCCCAATTCAAAATGTGAAGTGAAAACAGTTTTACCAAAGCCAGTGAAAAATGTATGCCTCATATTTACCTGTAATTGTAAACATAAGGTGTTTTAGCAGCGTGCCTGGTCTGTAACAAGCATTTGATAAATGCTGCCTTAGAGAGTCTATCATTTACAGTCTCCCATTTCACATATATAAATGCCTTCTCAGTTACATTTTCACTGGTCTTTTCAAAATGTATTATCTTCACATTTTTTAAAGCAAAGGTTTTTAACATTTAGCTACCATTAGATGAATAATATACAATGTATATCTCAACAATTGTATTGATAATTTCATCTTTTATATTTCACTATAGGCCCGGTGCATGGTGGGGTCCCTCGGCCTGGGCTGCGGGGACCAGTGGACATCCACACTGCCGCAGCCCAGCCTTACCCACCAGCTCGTCCAGCTC